ATCCATCCATCCATCCTTCCAGTACTTTGTCTGTTTTTCATCCATCCATCCATCCATCCGTCTTTCATTCCATAATTTCATCTATTAATTCATATATACATCATCTATCTGTCAATCTTTTCATCCATTATACTTCCATTTGTCCTTCCACTGCTTCATCTACTTGTCCATCCGTCCTTTTATTAAACTATCTAATAATGAATATCAATCAACAAAAATATAATGTAGATAAAGACTTTACTGTGGCAGATGAAAGCACTGAATAGATACCACCAAGCATGGCCTAAAGATATCAATTTATTATTTATATCTATTTTTATTTGTTTATCTCTATCTATTTCATTTGTGAATATATGAATCTGACAGGGTTGAAATACTACGGCACTTAGGATTACTAAACTACGGGCATGTTGTACTCACACTTTTAGGATTGCGGGTAACACTTTCAGCCTTTGAAGAACCCACATTTGTTGACCAATAATCTAAATATACCTAAACATAGAGCTGAAACGTTGAGTACATGTGCAGTAAGTCTCACGCACCTCCACGGCCTCCCAGCCCCACTCCCTGTACTTGGGGTTGTGGGTCAAACGCCACATGTACATGTAGCTCTCGATGACCTCTGGCCTCAGGATGTAGTAGCGGTCGCTCAGTCGGTTGGCTGTGGCCTCGGCTCCTGCATCAAAGCGGAACGCCTCCGGACCAAGTTTGGTGGCTGTTGACAGAAAAACATTAAAGTTGATATAAAAGCTGACTGTTACTGGTCTTATCGTGAAAGATTCATCACTGCACATTATTCTTAAGGGAAAAATGTCTTCATAATCTTTCACTGAAATGTAAAAAACAGCCTTATATTTATTCAGTCACATTTGCTCTGGATTATTTGCATTCAGATGTCATCACTTCACTAAACAGAGAGATCTCAGTCCAAAAGCTCACATATTTGGAGGAATATTGATATATTTACACATTAACTTCATATTTCCTTAGACAGAATGATAATTCCTATTAATTTCAGCCTGAATGATCTCAATGAAATGAGCTTACTAATTTACTTTATGTTTGCATCACAGCTTTCTAATTAAGTTGTAGGGCTTGATAATTGTTAAATGGTTTATCAAGATTATTTCGCTCAAAAATAGAATCACTATTATTAATTAGTCTTTTTTTTTTACATTTCATAAGAATTATTGCACTTTCACATAAGCACAAATCAACAGAATGTCAACTTGCATGGTTTGTTCGCAGATTTAGTCGCAGTAAACAGCAGAAATCTTAATAGAGATTATTAAATCTTAATATCTCAATAGAGATACTTATATGTTTGCCAGTCTTTTTTTTTTTTTTTAGCACTTTTGAGCACTTTTTCCGTAATGTAGAGAAAGTGTTTGCACATGGTTGCCAGGTTGGGAAGATTAAGTAAACCACTGGGCAGAAAATACATTCATTGAAGCCAATTTCCACAAAGTCAGGAAAACAATCATGCTTTATTAAGTCATAATGATGAATTTATAATAATAATGATTATGAGATGAAATGTTGAAATTTTGACACACTAAGTTGAAATTATATGATAAAAAGGCAACAAATTACTATTTATATAATATTTTTAAATGTCATAATTAGTTTGTGTAGTTTCAGCTTTCAAAGTCATATTTATTTCATAACTTTTTATCTCATAATAATGACTTTTATAGTCATAATTATGACTTACCAAAGCATGATTTTTTTTCTTATATGGTGGAAATCCAGTCATACAAATGGAATTCACTGTATAACGCGGAATGTCACGGAATTTGTCAAATTTTAGATGAATAAATCGAAAGTAGGTCAGTACACTTAAATATACACACAGAAACTTAAAGGTCCTCGTGGAAACCCGTCAAAATAAAAGTTGGGTTTAACTTGAAGAAACTGTGACAGAAATGTACATCTTACTACTACTAATAAAACGTTTATTAAAACTTTATTTTTAAGGAATAATCACACAAATTTTCTTCTGTGTTTTAATTTTAGCAGTAAACCTCTGTTGTGCAGCACTAAAGGGATTGTTTAATTAAATTAATGTTTTATGTCAACATTTGATTACCAGAAAATTAAAGTACATACTAAAAAGTACATACTTAAAAGTACATATTAAGCTTTGATTATTCAAATTTAATTAAACCAGAAAATGTAAAATGTATTTCATAGGGCCCTAAAAAATATTTTGTTAAACTTTTAATACATTTCTGTTAACCTATAGAAGTTTCGTGATTTCGATTAATTAGACATGCTTTAAACCAGAGTACAGACAAAAATGAAAATGGAAAAAAATGGAATTTACAAAAAAATGAAAATGGAAAAAATAAAACGGAATTTGGGAAAAAAATAAAATGGATTTCATAGGGCTCTAATCAGTGGACTATCCTCGTACATTTTCAACAGTATAGGCCATATTTTCCTTTTTACACCTTTCTTGTTCTTACAAATTTTCTCGTTCTTTAGTTTAAGTTTTAGTAAGTTTGTTATGTGCTTTTGTCATTTTTATTATTTTTTTTTATATTTCTATATAGCATTACTTTATTTTTAAGGTTTAGTAATTTTACTACTTCAACTTCAAATTTGTAGTAAATTTCCAATTCAACATTTCTAATTTTCATTTAACTGTTTAAGGTTTTTCCATCTAGTATACAGTATACAGTATATATATATATATATATTATTGATGATTTTTTACTTTATTATTTTTATTATTTTACTTTATTATTTCACGTCATTTTCATTTATTATTTTACGTCAAGTTAAACTAAATTATATTTATATTATTATATTTGACATTTTAGCTAATTATATTTTCTATATTTTATTTTACTTCAGTTAACGATTATTTTATTTCAAGTAATGGATTTCATATGGCTCTAATCAGTGGACTATCCTCGTACATTTTCAACAATATAGGCCATATTTTCTTTTTTACACCTTTCTCGTTCTTACTAATTCAAGCTCTCTCAACTTGTTATATTTTACAGTTTGTCAGTTGATGTAAAATTTTGTAGGCAGTGTATGTACATGCGCCCCCCCCCATAACAAGTCCCAATTTAACCCCTGGTTATAAGCAGTGAAAAAGGACTAGTTAGTCTTTAATCTCCCTCATGCTGATTGCTCAGCTGGTGTAAATACTAGCAGATAAAACAAAGCCGCCGCTGAACAGATGCTTTGAGCTTTGTGTTTTTACAGCGTGGAGAAACCTGAGGTCATAAACACACAGCGTGTGTGTAGTTTGTGTGCACAATGATCGCCAGCAAACTTTATGAAAACACAATGCTTTCAAAGCAAAACATAACATAACGAACCCAAATGTATCCCATTATGCCCCTAAAATCTAAAATTACAAGCAGCCCCGGTCCGGGAGAAACACTCTCGTCTGAATAAACATTTTAATTTGCATACTGATTTTGGTTTGTTTTGTCTCAATCCCCCGTCTAGCAATATTATGCCACTTCAGCCTGGAACAGTATTTTCCGCAGCGCAGCTGTGTGTTCAAGTGTAGTATGGTGGTTTTTTGGTGATTATCGGTCTGTCACGGTGAGAGAAACTTTCCCACGGGGAAGCGTTTATTGTCAACATTAATATGACACTTCACGATTTATAGCATGATGTTTCTCCAAACATGTTTAATATAACAGTTTTTTTCAGCTTCACGACACAGTGGGGCATATTATAATGAAAAGAATATGTTAATAAAAGAAAAACATATGACAGTTTTGAGATACCGTAGACTTGAAGTGCAACGCCTCACATACAGATGCATAAAAATAAAAAAAGAAGATATAAATAAATCTCATGATCATATTTAACTACAAAATCAAAAGGAATAAATTAAGAAATGATATCTTGCATTAAAAATGATCCTGTTTTTAGGACCATTACGATTATATAATATTTTTTTCTCATCAAATTTTCATTACCATAATTAATTCACATTATTTTCAAATTAGATTCACATTATTTTAATACAGTAAATGTTTCTACTGCAGTAGATAATGTAATCCATACATAATGAAACGACAGTGTTATTTTATGAGATACCATTATAGTTTTTTAATGCTTTTATTTTTAGATTTTTAGTAATTTTGTTGTGTTTTGTCATTTTTAGTGTTTATATATATATATATATATATATATACTGTATATAGCTTGGGTTATATTTTCAGTTTAGTTTAAGTTTTCGTAAGTTTGTTATGTGCTTTTGTCATTTTTATCAACTTTTTTTTTTAAATTTCTATATAGCATTACTTTATTTTTAAGGTTTAGTTTAATTTTACTACTTTTTTTAATTTAATTTTAGTTAATTTCCAATTCAACACTTCTAATTTTCATTTAACTTTTTAAGGGTTTTCCATCTAGTATATATATATATTTTATTGGTGTTTTTTACTTTATTATTTTTATTATTTTACTTTTTTAGTGCATCAAGTTAAACTAAATTATATGTATATTATTATATCTTATATTTTAGCTAATTATATTTTTTATATTTTATTTTACTTCAGTTAACGATTATTTTATTTCAAGTAATGAAAATGTTTTTTAATGGTTTTAATTTTAATTTTCAGTCTTAGTTAATTATAATAACCCTGGTGCAACAAATACTATGAAGTATAAATACGTCAAAATTGAAATAATATTTAAATTATAATACTGTTTTCATAATATATATTTTTTTTTTGCATTTTGGAAATGAGAATTTGGGGGTGAAAATATCTGTGCTTCATTTTCTTGTTATATATAATGCTATATATAATTCCTCATTTGTCTCTCTTGATTTTGGTATAAAATCTGACCCGGCATGTTCTCAGCAGGTTTCATTCATCTATTGTTCATCGGCTCTGGATTTTATTTTAAAAGAGACGTGAGGTCAGAAATGTAGAGACGAGATCAAACATGATGTTTGCTAAATCTGTAGCGTTTGGCTTGTCCTGATGAGAGCGCTGTGAAGAACTGTGCGCTGTGTGCTATTTCTGATCTGAAGCAGGTTAGGCTTCATCTCATCTGTTTGCTTCTGACGTCTGAGAAAGCAACAGTCTGAGGTTGTGATTATCCAGCGAAGCATGAGGAGAAAGATAAGACAAAGGGATGTTTCTGGGGAAGCTGCCTTTCAGCTATTTTATAAAAGTCAAATCACTTACCAACTAAACTGCAGCACCCTTCCGTTTTGATCAGTGTTATTTTATCATTATTTATATACTGTTACATAATTTATTATTTATGGTAACACTGTATTTTAAGGACCAATTCTCACTATTAACTAGTTGTTTATTAGCATGGATATTTCTAGCATATTGGCTGTTTATTAGTTCCTACCTTATTTTGCATGACCATATTTTAGATCCCCATACCTAAACTTAACAACTGCCTTACTAACTATTAATAAGCAACAAATTAGGCGTTTGAGGCAAAAGGCATAGTTAATATAGTCAGAATTAGTCCTTAAACTAAAGTGTGACCATTTATATTTATATTAGCTTTTATTATAATATTTTCCGTTTAGTTTTAGTAAATTTATATGCTTTTGCAATTTGTATTTTTTTATTTCTATATTATTATATTTTTATTTATTTTAAAGTTTTAGTATTGTTACTAGTTCAAATTAAACTTATTTCAGTTAGTTTGCAATTAAACATTTCTAATTTTCATTAAAAGTTTTAAATGAAATTTGAAGTCTTTCATCTAACATACATACATATATTATTATTTGTTATTATTTTAGCTGACAATAACAACACTGTGACATGAATTTAAATCAAATTATTGTTATACTTTGTACTGTCTCCTTAATATGTAAATTAAGTTTAATAATATAAATTGTAGGACATAGCATTGTTATCGTTAACTAAAACTAAATCTATAATTTTTTTTATTGTTCTAAGCATTAACGGAAATAAATAAAATAAATAAATAAATAAATAAAAACTAACTTTTTTTATTTCTGTTAGTTTCCAAGCAAATGTTTCAAATTTGTATTTAGTTTAAATACTAAAATTATTACAACATAAATAAAAATAAATACAAAGTAAATAGAAATATGAACATGAATTTAATACAAAAATAAATACAAACAAAAATAACTGAAATTAAATGAAACAAAAATCGTATTTCATTTAGTTGCAAATGCAACATACTTTTCGTTTAGCTGAAGTACTAAAATTACAAAAACTAAAATGGAAATAAAAAGTAAATAGAAATAAAAAAACAAAAAAAACAACAACAAGAAAAAACAAAATTACTTAAATGTAAACTAAAATTATAATAAAAACAGAAAATATAAAAACAATTTTCAAATTATTTAAATTAACATTTTTAATTTTCATTATTTTAAGTACTAAAATTTGTAAAATTGAGGGAAAATTTTAACAGAAAATATAAAAATGACACAAACACAACAAAATGACTAAAACTTAAACTAAAATTAAAAAGGAAAATATAAAAAATAAAAACAAATTCAAATGATTAATAAATACTGTAATGTATTAATGATACTTATCTTATTTTAGCATGTATTTGAACGCATTTTCAGCATTTTAAAGAGTCGATTCAGATGCAATGGAGTGATGCTGCACAGTTCCTACTAGTTTAAATGATAAGTGGCTTATCCTACACTAACTAACGCTGTGTTACTGTGTGAAATGTGACCCTGGAGCACAAAACCAGTCATAAGTGTCAATTTTTTGAAATTGAGATTTATACATAATCTGAAAGCTGAATAAATAAGCTTTCCATTGATGTATGGTTTGTTAGGATAGGACAATATTTGGCAGAGATACAACTATTTGAAAATCTGGAATCTGAGGGTGCAAAAAAATCTAAATATTTAGAACATCGCCTTTAAAGTTGTCCAAATGAAGTTCTTAGCAATGCATATTACTAATCAAACATTAAGTTTTGATATATTTACGGTAGGAAATTTACAAAATATCTTCACGGAACATGATCTTTACTTAATATCCTAATGATTTTTGCCATAAAAGAAAAATCTATAATTTTGACCCATACAATGTATTTTTGGCTATTGTGCTACAGATATACCCCAGCGACTTAAGACTGCTTTTGTGCTGCAGGCTCACATATTATGTCTAGGCTACTTTCTGACCCCCCTACATCTAGTTTTGACGTCCATCATCACACCCTGATGATCTCAGTAGGTTTCATGACATTCATCCTGTTTATCTCTGAACCAGAAGCATAAGCAAATGCTTTCTATTGATATGCACACACTTCGTTGTGTTCGGTTCACAGATGATCTCTTTCAGAGTCTCTTTCTGACCTGAGCGGCTGTAGGACTCGTGGCAGGTGTGAGTGATTTCAGCTGCCAGGTCCAGGTAGTGCTGCCTCTGTCCTGCCGGGCCGTCGTCAGCGCCGATGCCAATCATCCCGCCGGAGAAACAGGCCAGATGCCCCATCTTATGGTCCAGGATGCCACCCCGCCACTCAGCCACGTACGTCAATCCACCCGGAGACTTCTGCACCAGGTTCGTCTCGATGGCCTGCAAGCGCACAGGGAAAAAATCACTCTGATCAATGCAATGCGACTGGAAAAAACTGGTGTAGGATTTACTTTGAAACTATTTTCACTCAGAAATTGCTAACATATTTCACAAATAATTACAAAGAAGCAGCAAGTAACACACTGAATTAAATTTGAATTTGTGAAGGAGAAAGACTGACAGTATTTTCGTGTAAAACATACTTTGTTTTATTTACAACTTCAAAAAAAAAAAATCCAAATTATTATGAGTCAAATCACTTAATCACTGGAATATACTATACTGTATATTATATAATTATATTATATACTGTAAACATTTATATACTGTAATATTTATCAATATTTTAAATTAGCTGGCTGAGATTTTCAGTGTAGCTTTAGTAATTGAGCAAAAACAAACAAACAAGCAAACAAATACGTTTTTGTAATTGTATGTGCTTTTGCCGTTTTTATTAGTTATTCATATTTCTATACAGATTTGGTTTATTTTTATTACAGTTTTAATAATTTTAGTACTTCAACATACGTTGCTAAGGCAACATTTCTAATTTTTATTTTGTTTTGTTTTTTAAGCTTAAGTTTTTCCATTTAATATATTTTATTTTATTCTAGCTTCAATTAATTATTTTTTTTAAAGTTTTAATAAAATTGAATTTTTAGAAAGACAGAAATAGTATTTTCTTGTAAATCATACTTTTTGATGTATTTACAACTTTAATAATAATAATAATAAAAAAAATTCACTTACTAACTAAACTGCAACACCCTCCATTTAACATTATTTATATACTGTTATATTATTTATAAAAATTTTAAATTAGCTTTTATTCTTATTTTTTTCAATTTAGTGTAATTTTTAGTAATTTTATCATGTGCTTTTGCAATTTTTCTAATTAATTACTTTTAGTTTTAGTAATTCAATTTTAGTAATTTTAGCACTTTAACTTATTATTTTAGTTAGCTGCCACGGCAACATTTCTATTTTCATTAAATTTTTCTATTTCATTTCAGCTTTACTTCAATTAATTAATACTTTTTAAAAATTTCTAAAGAGAAATTTTGAAGTGCAAAGACTGACATTTTTGAATTTTTTGTAAAACATACTTTGTTTTATTTTCAACTTCAAAAAAAAAAATCCTTTACAGTGTAGTGGTGAATTTCAGCTACCAGCTCTTTCTGAAAAGCATATCTGAGTGATGGAGCATTAGATTTTCATGCACGCTGAAGATAATGCAGCTATTAATCGCAGCCGAACGCGCTTGCTATGAGAAACAGAAGGATGGACGTGTTTTGTGTGAGAGTGAAGAAACATCCATTCGATTTGTAAAGTGCTTTGAAATCAAGGCGACGCTGGATTTCAATAAAGCACATATAAAAGCAGGACGGTGTGCACACATTGCTGTAGAAGCCGACGTTTATGCATGAAATGTTTTATGTATAATATAAGACAGTGTGCAGCGTGCAGAATTGAAGTCAAGCCTCACTGAGATTCTATCGGGACTTTGAGACGTGAAGGTGTATAAATCTGCCAAAGACTTTACGAGAAAACATCTCAGAGTCCGAGTCTCTTCTCCTGCGTTTTTATGGTTTCAGCTCTTTAGAGAAGCAGAAAACAGCGTAAGCCATCATGACGATCAATAGCGAATGACTCATCGTTTGCTTTTGCTCTGTGAGCCCCACACAAAACTCATTCAGATGCTTTTTCTTTGCTTGCATCACCAGTTTTCTGCATTTTTGCATCATCAAATGAAAACAACCCACTTAAAGTCAACGTGAAATCAAAATCAGAGCAAATGCATGACTATCGAGACAAACATCAAATATTATATGGGCTGCAAACATTTCACATCAACTTATTAACTCATTCACACTAATCAAAAATATTGCACAAAGGACTGGATATTTGATAACATGTTTGATGTTTTAACATTAGGCTGATGAAATTGGCCTCTCCTGATTATAAATGTAATTAATATCTTGGCAGATCTCATTCTTCAAGGGAAACATTGTGTAATGAAAAAGCTAATATGCTAATTAAGTGAGAATAAGTGAGAAAGTGTTCGCTCTCTCTGTTATATTTCTCCTCTCGGATCATTATGAGCGCGAGGCGAATCTAATTTTAAACTAATCTAATCAAGCTTAAATTAAAGCGTGCAATCTATTTTACATGCTTACGGCCGGTACAGACACTCATTTCTATTTCTTTATTTTTCACTGAACATACTGAAGACCAGAAATAGCATGTGCAACTAAATTGCAAGACAATTAAATAGCACAAGCATACAATAAATAGTGTATTGGCGATGTTTGCGAACCTCCATGGCTCTGTAGTACATCTTCTGGGCCTCCTGATCCGTCTTCTCTGACATCAGGTAGGATTTGATCAGGTACTCGTAGAAACTGTCCCCAAGACCTCCGATAGACACGTGATCTGAGAAAACCAGAGGGAAACCATGTCTACAACTAACTCTGAATCACACACATCACATTAACCACAAGAAAACATGTGAAGGACCTATTTGACCTTAAAATCATAACAAAAAATATTCTGAATGAAGAAAATGAAGTCATTTTACGGACAATAAGATTTTAACAGGAAATACATCAACACAGAAAAGAAAACTGTACTCATTAAAAAACAAAGATTTCAGAAAAAGGCTTGCCGCGTTCTGTGGATTTGTTTATTGTAAGTTTTAAGATTTTCAATGAGCATATTAACACGTATTTCTAATTTTGTTTTACGCCATCTTCGTTCAGCACTTCTACAGTCTCTTTTAAGTCTCATAGTCTGATTTGTCTTCTGAGGAATTATCTTTTTTGTAGTTAACTTTTTAGTTTTAAGTGGAGCAACTGCAGCAAGAGCTGTTATATTCTGTTATTAAATTCATGAAGTCATCATAGGATGATGGTAAAATGTTCCTTTCACAAGTCAGATTTTCGGCTATACTTCAGAGGTAATATAACGTTTTTTAACAATACGTTCGGTTGCATTTGTCACAGAATTATCAATACTGTTAAAGAAGACACAGAAGTGATCAGATAATGCAAGATCAATGACAGATGTTATTGTAATATTACCATATTTACCACTTCCGGGATCGACATTTCACTCGCTAACATTAGCAAGTTTTCATTTATATGCTGTTTATTGTTGATGATTGCAATATTTTTCATATGCATCTGCTTACATATGCTCGTTTCTGCATCTTCCTCGCCTGTGTTTTTGATCGGGAGAATCTGGACTCATTCAGGAGATGTGTAATAGCGCCCCCGAGCGTATAACAGTGAAAACACAGAAACTAGGAAAAATTCTGTGTTTGGCAGGGAAGGAGTTAATATTTACAAGTAAATCCACAATTGTGACCATGGAGCACAATACCGGTCACTTTTTTGAAATGGATGAATAAATAAGCTTTCTGTCGATGTATGGTTTGTTATGATAGGACAATATTTGGCTGAGATACAGCTATTTGAAAATCTGGAATCTGAGGGTGCAAAAAATCTAAATATTGAGAAAATCGCCTTTAAAGTTGTTCAAATTAAGTTCTTAGCAATGCATATTACTAATGATACTAAATGTTTGATATATTTACGGTAAGAAATTTACAAAATATCTTCATGGAACATGATCTTTACTTAATATCCTAGCAGGGACACATATTATGTCTAGGCTAGTTTCTGACCCCCCTACAAGTAACGCGAGTTACGTAATCAGATTACTTTTTTCAAGTAACTAGTAATTCGGTCTGAATACTTTTTGGTCCCAAATTTGTATTGGTTTTACTGGTAGTCCACTGTATGAAGAAATTTTGGGTATAATTTGTCACAGTTTACTTTATTGTGCTATTCTCACTTACATAAATAAACTATAGTGTCCTGCACCCACTAGTAAAAAAGTGATATTTTCAGAAATAGAAGTCGCGTTTTTTCATCTTGAAACGTGCTGCGATTATATTCCAAAGGCACTCATATAATGCAGAAACACTCAAGCAAGCAAAACACGTTCACACCCTGATGATCTCAGTAGGTTTCATGAAATTCATCCTGTTTATCTCTGAACCAGAAGCATAAGCAAATGCTTTCTATTGATATGCACACGCTTCATTGTGTTCGGTTCACGGATGATCCGGGTACTATAATCGGAATCAACACACACAATGGCTGGGAGCGCCCTTCGCTCTGTTGACGCTCTCATCACTATCGCTGACACTCATTAGCCGTTCCCATGCTGCACCAATTAGCGCTGCAGTCGCAGATTACATTCAGGCCGTTCAAGAAGAAAAAAATGTTTCTCCTGTTTTTCAGGTGAATCTGAAAGATTCAATTTCCAAAAGGTAATGGGATTTATTATAATTTTAATAACTCTTGGCTGTGGGCTCACGTCCCTGCTTGACAGGATAGCCGCGCTGGCTCAATCGATGTCATGCATGCCAGAATAATTGCACTGTGAAGCTCAAAGACGGCGCTTGTGAGAGCCACTCTCATGACCCGGAGCAGAGCAGAAATGAAGAACCAAATAATAACTAAATAAATGTATTTACACCACCAGTCCAAAGTTTTAACGTCCACCAGTGAATTTATGCTCTTCACAAAATTAATTCTATTTCAGTCTGCTTAAAGTATAGAAAGCAGCTTTGAAGACAATTATAAAATGAACCTGCAAAACACAACGAAATAATACATCTTTACATGATGTTTTTTAATCTGTTCGTCACTGGGATTCATTTTGTTTTGCAAACTTTATGAGGATGGAAAAGCATCTGGCATTAAAACAAAAAATTATTTCACACTTTTATGTTGTTTAAGCATATTGTCCCAGATGTGCACAGACCGTGTGATTCTAGAAACACATTTGAATATTTGGAAATATTTGTGTTTCCAGAGTCTCAAAGATTAAAGGTTTTAGTGTTGACTGATGGGAAGGCCCACATACATATATCATTATATGAGCCGTCATTAGCAAAATTATATCATCTTTCACACCTTGCACTTTTATGTATTAAATATTTTGGCTATTTTGATAATGCGGTCATTAAATTCACCTCAAATTTGCATTCTATTTATTTTGCATGTTTTTGCTGGTACTAATGTACTAATCTTGTTTTGCTCTAAAAGCATCTGCTAAATGTAAATGTATCTGAAACCAGTGGCAGCTCGTCGGGGGAGGCAGGGGAGGCACAGCTTCCCCATAATTTTGAGGTGAAAATGGGAGGAGGACGCTTTAATGTTAATAAAATTCATAAAATTCTTCAGTTCATGTCTCAGAATGTTTATTTTTTGTTTGTAATTTCAAAGTTTTAATACCATAACGTGAAAGCGCCGCTTTTCTGTCGCGAATGTGCCGAATCTGCTGATGTAATTACAACCGCTTGGTGATAGAGAGCTGGTGCCACTGCAACAGAGAGCAGAGCAGCACTGTGAACACCGCCACCCACCACAGACCACACCGCAGCTAACTGGAGCCATGGCAACAGCGCACCAAACCATGCAGAGCAGATGCCAGGGCGCTGATTAATCACTGTGCAAACAGTTTAACACAGACGTGCTAAAAGCCTTCGCTTCATCCCACATGAGAGTGCTACTTGGGGCTTCGGGATTCGTTCGGTGAAACTGTGGAACTAATTCACAAGATTATTTGTGTCTGCTTCTTATTGTGAGAGCGCGCCACGCACTGCTTCCCTTCTGAAGGAACGATCAATAGCGCCGATGTCTCGGGAGGAAGAGGAAAGTGAGAAAACTTTCATCGGAAAAATTAACCGAAACCGGCACAAAACAGCTAACTGTTTGTTAAACAAAAGGCAGATAGAGTTCACTGGTGGGAGAAATGACTTAAAGCCCATTTAATCATTCTTTGTTGGTATTAAAACACAGAAGCTGAGCAGATGCTTATGTTAAAAGAATATCCAAAAAATGTAAATGCTTGATTTTAAAGGGCCATGAAACCCCAGACTACTTTTTCCTGAGATTTTAGCAGAGGTGTTTGTGTTGCACATCATAGAAGACAATGTTAGCATCCGATAATTTGAACTGTTGGAGAAAACTGGTTAATTTTAAGCTTTTTTGCGCTATTTTCATCTTCCGGGTTTAAAATCTACATCGTGTTGATGTCACAATTTGTGACGCGGCAATGGACTATAGTACATCGATGGCGCGTCGGTGTCTATTAAATTATTCATGAGACTGCGTGTTCTTATCCTATGAGAAGACGCTTCACTTAATTATTCACAACAGCATGTGTTGATTTGCTATGACAGACGCTTCAGACTGAGATTGCATACATTATCTGAGAGAAACGTTCATGAATCGAAGGAGAGTGTTTGTTTTGCTTTATAATAAGAGTTTGGCACAAACGCGATTCATTCACTTAGTGAGTGTAACCGTTCTTACAGCTCCGTGACACAACCCGTCAAAAGGCTTATATAAACGCCGCAGAATAAATCTTAGGTTATCAGAGGTGCAACAGCATGTTCATATATATGTTTTCGATGCAGAGTACAAATGGCTGTGCATTTATTTGTGTTTTTAACTCGATGGGAGTGAAATGAAACTGTCTGAACCCGAAGCTGTGTGTGCTGTCTGTCTCCTCTCTTCCCCCTCCTCCGCTCTGCAGCGCACCACGCCCACTTTTTTAGCATTTTTTAAAACTGTAGTGAGAACTAACCAGTGCTGAAACAGGGGGTTTCATGACCCTTTAAAGTAATTTTTGAAGACAATTATTGCACATTTACATTTGTTTGCATTCTGTATAAAATATGCATGTGATGCTGCATTCCAATTTGACCAATAAAAATATACAATTATAATAAATCAGATATTTAAATGTTTTTGAAAGAAGTCTCTTTTGTTCACCAAGGCTGCATTTATTTGATCAAGAAACAACTCTGATTATTATCAATGTTGAAAACAGTTGTGCTGCATCATGTTTTTGTGGAAATGATGCATTTTATTTTTCAAGATTCTTTGATGAATAGAAATCTTTTGTAACATAAATGTCTTTACTGTTACGTTGGATCAATTTAATGCATTCTTGCTGAATAAAACTATTGATTTCTTAAAAAAAAATTTTCGAATTCAAATATATCACAGTTTCCACAAAAATATGAAGCAGCACAACTGTTTTCAACATTGATAATAATCAGAAATGTTTCTTCAGCAGCAAATCAGCATATTAGAATGATTTCTGAAGATCATGTGACACTGAAGACTGGCGTAATGATGCTGAAAATACAGCTTTGATCACAGAAATAAATTACAGTTTACAATATACTCACATAGAAAACACTTATTTGAAATTATAATAATATTTCACATTTTTATAGTTTTTACAGAATTTTTTATCATATAAATGCAGCCTCGGTGAGCAGAAGAGACTTGTACACTGACCGGTAGTGTAAACGTCATAATAGAGCACATTCCCAGTGACGTGTGTTCGTTCAGTGCCATCCTGACTAACCTGAGCGCCACACCGGAGCCCTCTGTCTCCCAGCCCATCTGTAGGACTGGCTCCTGTTACTCATCTAACTGGAATTAGCGTGAGAATCAGTTAATTAAATTTGCCTGCAGCTGTCAGAGCGAGCTGGTGGGCTAATGGAAGCCGTGTGTGCGGCAGGAGTGCCAGAAAGAGTCTCTTTCTCTCAGAAAGCAAAAAAAGATATTTGAGACATATGGCTTTGTGAATGGATGTGTTATGCCAGCAGACGGGACGCTAGGAGCTGCATCAGATGCTCACCTGCCCAGGTTAATGACTCCTCTGGGAATGCCGGTGGGCGTGTTGAAGGCGGGTAACAACTTCTCGCCCAGTTCCATCACCTTCTGCTTAAATATCTGAAAGACAAAACAGAAGAGCATAGTTCTAATAGTGATAGTGATATAGTATATATCACATAGTGATAACTAATCCTGCAATGCAGCATACGCATCTATAAAGGTGTTTCTTCACAATCACGCATGCACACGCTTCCCTCAACGCCCATAATCTACATGTTTGCAGAGCTTTCCTCCAATGCAATCCATTTATAATGTTAGTCAGGTTTCTTGCACCAAAAACAGTCAGGTACATGGGTTCAATGCATCGACTGATAAAAATTCTTCATCAATATTCATCAAGGATGCATTAAATTAATCAAAAGTGGCAGTAAAGACTCATTGAACTTTCTATTGATCAAAGAATCCTGAAAAATCAAATGTATCACAGTTTCCACAAAAATATGAAGCAGCACAACCGTTTTCAACATTGATAATAATAATCAGAAATGTTTCTTGAGCAGCAAATCAATATATTAGAATGATTTCTGAAGATCATGTGACACTGAAGACTGGAGTAATGATGCTGAAAATACAGCTTTGATCACAGAAATAAATTACAGTTTAACAGAGATTCACATAGAAAACAGCTATTTTAAATTGTAAAAATATTTCACTATTTTACCATTTTTACTGTATTTTTGATCAAATAATTGCAGCTTTGTTGAGCATAAAAGACCACAAACCACACAAAAAAAAAATAAATGCAATGACAAACATATTGATAAAATATATCAGCATATTGCATATTACAGAGTCCAATTATCAGAATAATAAAATACATAATGGATATTTAACAGTTACAAACCAATAATAATCATTAAATAAGAAGGAAGAAAATTATTTTGGCTGTCTGAAGTGCAGAAAACTTGCACTAGAGCTTATTGTCAGTTTATATTTCATGTCCAACTGCAATACTTCCCAAATAAACCTAAAATGGACTTTCAAAACTTCTTGAACCCAGACAAACCTGTTTAACATCCATTAAGCGCAGCAGCTTCTGTGGCAAGGTCATCTTCAAAAGTGAATGAAACTCGACGTTGTGCAGCAGAATGAAACCGAGTGCAGAACATTGAAACTTCAAGACGTGTTCTAACGCTTATGATGGCAATAACACATAAAGATGGCTGGAAATACGGTTGGCGACAGAGATATTTCTCTCCAAGCTCTTTTTAGTGCTGCTTGCTAAGGCAAGCATCACTGTTATTGCTATTATTTAGGTTGAGGGATTTGAACGAACCTCTAAATCCAAGTATTCAACTTTAGAGTGTAACTTGTCCCATATCAGACTTATGATTTTCACCTGGTGGGCAACAAAACGGTTGTAAAATAGACTTCTATTGAAGGAGGCACCAGACCTGAATATCACAAGACTCTTCTCACTTGATACAGTAAAAGCACATAGCAACCACTCAGAACACCTTAGCAACGGAACAGAAACATCCTGGCAACCACGATAACACCTTAGCAACATGGTGGCAACTCATCAAGGTACAAGAAACAATGTTCAGAGTTGTTAATGAGTTTGCAGTCTGTACTAAATATGAGGCAATAATTGAACTGTGTACCACAAAATAATGACAGAAATCTGCTTTACATTGAGTTGTATTTATATAAACAAATACACAGTGAGATAGGATTCACAAACAAATGACTCTTAGCTGTTGCTTTTCAGTGAATCAAAGCAATCACATATAATAAATATACATACATATATATATGGAGAGAAACATTATACACACACGTTTTCTTCCTAATCGTAAAAACAAGTTTGAGTTTGTGGATGGCCACTGAGAGCAGAGTTTGTGTCACCAGCAGAAGGTCAAACTTCAGCCTCCTCAGAAGCACTGGGCTCTAGAGAGACATGCGGTGGACTCTGCTATAACGGGGGCAGCACATCTCCTGCTTAATGCATTTGTGCAGCGCAAAACGAGGGCTGAGATGAGAAGGACAGGAGAAGAGCAACCTGATTGCCCCCCTGCACTCGTGTCAGAGAGATCACTAATGACCCATAGCTGGAGACACCGACTCCATCAGAATCCCATCTGTGAGGCTTCACCTGCCAGAGTATGACGCACTAACAGTGCCACCAAAAATGAAACTTCTGTCATTAATTCCTCGCCCTCATGTCGTTCCAGATGCATGCATTTCTTTCTTCCATGAAGCACAAAATTAGATGTTTTGAAGGATGTTTATAAAATAAAGTCAAAATGAACTGGATGCTTTAAGGCTCCAAAATGATAATAAAGCATCATGAAAGTAATGCATATGACTTCACTACACTACACTGAAAAAAAATTGGTTATGGATTTACTTTGAAACTATTTTCACTTAGAAATGGCTAATAAATTTCACAAATAATGACAAAGAAATGTCAAGTAACATTGAATTAAACGTGAAATTTTAAGTAGAAAGACTGAAATAGTATTTTCTTGTAAAACATACTCTAATAATCTTACTTTATATTACAACTTATGCTTTATTTACTACTTTGACAAATACTTTTTTTTTTCAGTGTACATTAACCCTCTGGTGCTCTTCAGTCATTTTTGAACGATTAAAATTTATTATTATAATTTTTTCTTTTTAGAATTTTTTTACTTCATCGAAATCGTATGAAACTTGGCAAACTTTTTGGCACTTGATATGTGGACAAAATAAATAAATAAACAAACAAATGAATAAATAAACAAATATCTTGATTTATTTGAAAAGGTTAAACGGTCCTGAAAAAAATAGTCACACTTGCTCTCCTTGCAGTCAAAAATGAATGCATTGGAAATGAATGTGAAAACAATTTCACCTAGTGGAAATATTTGGTACCGCGCCAAAAGAAAATCTTCCTGAAAGCTCATTTTTTGAGACGTCAAACTTAAATTCGAAACACAACTTGTTTAGATTTATGGCTTTAATTTTCTTGCAGTTTTAGAGTAAAACATGCTTTGGAAAATATATATTTCATATGACATTTGAAAATAGTATTTTTGCGCATGTTTCATAACAATAAACTTAAACCTCTATAACTTTTTTTTAAATGTTGCTTTAACTTTTTTCATTTCAGAAGTAATCTGTCAAGCGTCTTCTTTAAAAAGAGATCAAACGTAAGTCTGTGTTTCAAAAGCGTTGAAGATTTACGACAGTTTAATTTGGAAATAATTTTTTGAAATTTTGAATATGCTCAAAAAATGGTTAAAAGGTAATAAATGGATTATAAGCACTGCATAAATATAATTTAGTACCATAAAATCCCTTAAAAATACAAAATATTAAATAAAAAACAACCATAGAATGTATAGTACATTAATTTAATTGAAACAATGTAAAAAAGGTCATTTTTTGACCACCACACAGGAAGCACCAGAGGGTTACAAATCTAAAGCCTTCAGACAGAACTTAACGTGTAATTAAACAGCAAATACTTATTTTTATGGCTTAAATTTCTACATGTTCCTCAAACAAAGTTACTGTATGAGCTCAGAAGACTTGTAATATAATGCATACATTATATGGACTACTATTATGGTGTGCTTATGGTGCATTTTGGTCATTTTTGGAGTAAAAAACTGTAAACTGAGTAAAAAAAGTGCACGTAAATAATGACAGAAAATGCATTCTGGGCAAACTATTCCTTTGATTGTCATGGTATCTGACAGAAGGATCCTGATTGTCATGGGAAATTTGCAGTATTGATCCAGGACGGCAGCGGACAGCGCGAACGTTTCACTTTCAGTCTGAACACAAAAAAGCCCATAATTCTCTCTATCCAATTGCAAAAGAAAAACAGGCATGGGCAAAGAAACTCCAGCCTGGAGTTAATATTTAATTTTCATCTGAAGAAACATGCTCAGGAGGAAGGGCAGCTCTCAGGTCATCTGTACTCGCGTGACCTTTGACCTCTCATTATCAGCATCTCCTCAATTCGCTGTACAGCAGCAGAGACATTTTCAGCTTAATTACAGGATGCTTACGCACAGCTCTGCAGCTGGAAATGACTTTTTAAAAGCCATTTATTGTTGAATAACATCAGATTGAAGGCTTCACCTCCAGAAAACAAACAGTGGTGGAGGATAAAGCTCCCACGAGGAATGACTGATGCAGCTGAATAAATGCACAGGACTCTGGGACGTCGTTTAGACGCTGCTGCGCATATAATGCTGCGGAGAATACAAAGACAGAAGCAGCTTTGTGAAACGTCCACACGTTAATGATGTGGATAAAAGAAAATGGAAAACGCATCAAATAGAGTTGTTTATGGAGTGCTGACTTTGGTAATCAAAAACAACGATTGCTCTCTGACTTTATCAAGAGTTCATTTAAAAGCAATTCAGGTTATCTGTCCAGGAGACAAGACAGAGACAACGCATTAATGCTGGTGAAAACTTGGGCTTGGGTTATTTCAACAAGTTCCTTACAGAATATAAGAAATATTACATATAAAATAAACATTTCTATGACTTGACAGCTTAATATAACTGTTAATATTTTAATAATAATAATTATTATTATTTTTATTATTAATTATAATAGTTAATATCCGGCACTACATAATAATAATAATAATAATTAAATCATTTTTGGCTTGGGTTATTTTAACAGGATCCTCACAGAAAATTGCAGTATTATTGTTAAGAATATATAAGAAATATTATATACTGCATAAAATAAACATTTCTATGACCTGACACAGAATAATATAACTGTTAATATTTTAATAATAATAATTATTATGATTATCAATTATAATAGTTAACATCAGGCATTCAGGCATTACATAATAATAATAATAATAATAATAATAATAATAAT